TGTTAAACTTAACGAGGTTGGGACCAAAACCGCAACAAAACCATCAAATAGGGACCTTTTTTGCTAATAAATTTTTTTTTTGACCTTACCCACAGAAATTGACAAACCACAGGGACCATTTTTGTAATTTTGTCTGGCAATTTATTGAGAAAATTTGTTCATGTTACTTTATTTAAAATTTAACCACGGGAATAGTGCACACTTTGAGCAGAATACAATCGAATATTTACAAACGTGTTTAAATATAATAACGTTGTTAGTTTTTATATAATAATTTTTATACTGAGACGATGTTTGGATAAATTAGCTTATAACTTATTAGTTTATTGTTTATTAGCTTATTGCGGTGGGAATAAGCAGTTTTTGCAAAAGTGTTTGGATTAGCTTATTGCGGTGGGAATAAGCAGTTTTTGCAAAAGTGTTTGGATTAGCTTATTGCGGTGGGAATAAGCAATAAGCTGATAAACATTCTTAAGTATTTGGCAAACAAAACAGCTTTATATGAGTAAAATAACCAAAAATGGTTTCCTTTTATATGTTAACATATTTTTCTTATTAAAACAAAACAGTTTTGTTTTTGAAATAATAATAATAATTTTCTTATCCATAAGAACTAAAAAAACATTTATCACACTATTTTTACACCTATTTTTTAATTGATCAGATACATCTTTCGAAATGATCAAGAAACATGCCATAAGAACTAAAAAAACATTTATCATGCAAACCTATATTATACCACAAATTTCATTCCAAATCCATATTATCCATCACGTACAGTTATAACTCATTCCATATTATCCAAAATAGTTTCATGCTACTACATAAAACCATAAAATGAAAATACCAAAGAGTTTCAAAACAAATCATACGCCATTGCGTACACGAGTGTTTGACTTTAAGAAAATTTGTTCCGCAATCATATCGTGTACTGCACTCATATGCATATCGTCATTTCTATGTTGTGCACTTGATACTTCGTCGTGTGGCTCAATACCATCATCGGGTTCTTCATCATTGCGCGGAATATAAAATTCTTCTTGCGTTATTTAAAATGTTGCATCACCACTATCGCTCATTCTAATGTAATTATGAATCGTCATTGAAGCTACCACAATTTTCACTTGGGACTCGAAGTCGAAATTTACATGCATATCTTTTAGTAACACCCATCGAGCCTTCCAGACTCCAAAAGTTCGTTCAATTACATTGCGAAGTGACGAATGATAATAGTTAAATTTTTCTTTGAAGCCTTTTGGTTCCCGCGCGGCACGAGTCTGTCCACGTCAAAAATCAGGAATATGATAACGGATGTTTGAACCTTTGTAGGGAGCAAGATAACATTTTGTATTTGGATATCCGGCGTCTACAAGGTAAAACTTACCTATAGAGGTACAAATAAAGCATATGATTGTTATTCATTTATATCGTTTGAAAATATAAAACTTCTATTAATAAATAATAATACTAACCATCGGCTGGAAGTGGAAACTTAACTTCACATCTCATTCGCGCTTCATTGAAAATTCTCATGTCATGTACGCTCCCCTCCCATCCAGCCCACGCAAAGGTAAAGCACATGTTGAAATCACATGCTGCCATAATATTTTGAGTAACGTAGTTCTTTCGTCCAATGTATTTGATTTGGTTACGTTGCGGAACAGAGGCCTTCACGTGTGTTCTATCGATAGCACCAATACAATCCTACAAATTCAAAAAATATAATAAGTTACCAATTATTTTTACAATTACACAAATTCACCAAATAACATAACTTTGCAATAAAATAAGTACCTTGAAGTATGGATAATACCGAGGGTTATTTAAAATATGTTCTGGTATAGTTTCGTTGTAGTTAGCATTTGGTTTGATGATGTCCTTACTTAGGTTAATCACAACATCCAAGACTTTATGAAAATGCCTATGGATTGTTTCCCCATAATGGTTAAAGAACACTTAAACTAACCGATTTCCACGTCCATACGCTAAGTACAACAAGAAAATACCAAGGGACTCTTGAATAGATACACGACGTGATTTCTTTAATCCATAATGTGCAACAAGATCCCTACATAACATGTTGAAAACCGGGACTTGTAATTTGAAAAGTTTATAACATCGTCTCTCATGATCGTTAAGTATTTCATTGATAAGCATGATTCATGTGCGTGAAGATGAACGACGACGTCTACGTACGTATTTCGATTTGTGAGTCAATAGTAACCCTTTGACAGCAAACCTACATAAAAGAAGCGTTTGAATCTCTTCATTTTCTTCAATTTCATCACATGAGTCATTACTGTCATGTGAGTCGTCACTTTCACAGTCATTGGCCATGAAATAATCTGTTAGTAAAGGAAAAGGAAACAAGCGTAAAATGGAAATTTACCACCTACTAGATAAAATCATGGCAAAATCATGGAAAAGGAAACAAGAGCAAAATCATGGGGCAAGGGCAAAATTGACCACAAAACAAACATGAAACGAAATTGCATTAAAACAAACACAAAACAACCGTTTAAAGTCAACCTAACAGATAAAAGGATAAGTCTAACACATGACAACCGTTTAAAGTCAACCTTATAGATAAAAGGATAAGTCTAACACATGACATAAAAGTAAAGTATGTCTTCAACTACTTCTCTTTCTCTATAAGCCTCTTGAGAAACTCCATATTTGTTTCATTAGTCTTTGGAACCATAAAATTCTGACGAGCTGGCTTCTTTAGAAAGACCTCTAACACTTCCAAATATCCTATTGAGCCTTTTTCAAGACCCGGGAAAGTAGACACAATTGCCATGCAATCTTCTGTTGTCGGTGAGTGTGTGGTTTGTCTTGAGGTCTGAGTGCTCCTTATTAACAAAACATCAAAAACACTGTCTAGTTTCTCTTCATATGAGGAGCTTACCATACTTTTTCCTTCAAATTTTCTTTTGTTGTCACGTCAGGGAGTTAATTTATTTCCCCTCCTTTTCTTACTAGAACAATCATATGTGAGAAAAGGATCAACATCATCAAATAAGAGGAATTCCTCACTAGCTTCTTTTCCATCCGTAATATCCACAAACTGTACATCATCCGGAGTGCTACTGTCGCCAAATTTGCAAGGTACCTTAGCCTTGTCTCCAACAGCTACGGTATCCCAAAATAAAGCCTCGTAATATGTCTCATATACCTCCAAATTCTTATCCTTAAACTTAGCATACTCTTTATCTTCCTATATGTACAAAATGAGAATGTCACGAAAAACACAATACAAATAATAAATTGCTAGATAAAATTTATAATTATTACCTTTATTTTCTCATCCCACCATTCCTTTGATGCTGAGATTATGTTTCTCACGGGATCAATTGAAATTCACGTTTCTAGTATTGTTAAATGGTCATAATATTTGAACTCTTTCCGCATAATGTCCTATTTGTTTTTCATTTGGTTTATGTCCAAATCTTTACCTGGTCGTTCTAAAAGTCTCTTACATATATTTTGGCACGCGGTCTTATTGAAATAAGTACTCGATCTATTCCCGTTTTTTAGCTCGTTCATACATCCATCAAGAAACACCTTGAATGTATGAGGATCCCAATTAAATCTATTTGTAACTTTCAGTTTGGGTGTATCAATACCCACATCATGAACATTGACAGTGTCCATTACCTATATTGAATCATGGTAATGAATGAAGAAAATTATGAATTTTCACCCTAATGTTGAATCAAAACACGCAGAGGAATTTGTAGATGCAAACAAGAATCATTAGCATCAATAGCAACAAATAACAGCAAGAATCAACGATGAAGAAAAAAAAGAAGCATCACAGGGGCGAGAAGGGAAGCAGCAAACAGGTAGAAGCAAAAGAAAAAAGAAACATCACAGGTGCGTTTTATGCAATACGAAAAAAATTGATGAATACGCATACATGTATGTCGATCGTCGGCTTCCAGGGTTGTCGATGGTTGTTCCTGCGAGAAGGGAATAGCGGACGACAGAAGATTGTGAAGGATTTGATCAACATTATGGGTTTATGGGTTTATGTATCGTTATTTTAAAAGGGTAATTGGGTAAATTCTCAAATCATTAAAAATAAGCAATAAGCAATAAGCAATGGGGGATGCTTATTAAAATCAGTTTATTTAGCTTATCCCTACCACAATAAACTGATTTTTAAGGATTCCTATCTAAACACTTAAACTTAATGTATTGTGGTGGTAATAAGCAATAAGCAATAAACACCCTCTTTTTTCCCAATCCAAACACCCTCTAAGTTAATATAAACATATGATATGATAGATATTTATAGTTACTCATTAATAAAATTAAATATAATGTATGGTTTAATGTTATTTATAATTGTTGTTGTGATTAATTATTTTAAAAAAATTGTTTAATATTTTAACTCAATCATTATAATTATTTATAACATCGTTTTTGTTTTTTAAAAGATAATAATATAATTTTTTACATAATGTTATTTTTTAAATTTGTTGTTCTAAGTTATTTTTAAGCTATTTAAAACACTTAATGATTATAAAAATAATTTTAAAAATAATTTTAGTTAATTTGGGGTTACAATTTAAGTTTTGCATTTAACATGATAATTTATAACTTTAGGTTATTTATAGAACAATTTTTGGATTTTCTTTTAAGTTTAATTGACATTACGTTTTAAGTAACCCTTTAACGTAATATTTAAATTAACAATTTAAGTATTTTATACAAATTATTTATAAGTTGTGACTTTAAAATGACCATAGTTTACATATAAAAACATATTCAAACTAATAAGTTAAGTATATTATGTTAAAATTTTAAGACATAATTTTATTAGTAGAAGTAAAAAATGGTATTTTAATATTGAATTTTACTTAATTTAGGATTACAATTTTGGTTTTGCATTTATTTAACAATATTAACCAATTTATAATCATTACTACAAAGAAATTGAAAGTTATGAGAGTTTCAAATGCATATGGTGAAAGGAAAAATATATATTTTCTTATAAAAATAAAGACAAAATTGCAAAAATGGTCCATGTGATTGTCAAAATTATGTGGTTTTGATCCAAAAATGTTTTATGGTGCAAAAGTCGTCTAATTTTTGATATCTTGTGTGTTTTTGGGCCACAATTTTTAATTTTAACAACTTGGTTGTTAATTTTTTTTTAAATAACAATTTTACCCTCAATAACCATTTTTACGACCAAACTATAAAGACCATTTATGCATCATTCTTTTTTATTTTATTCAATTATTATACATTAATTCTTTTAATTATTTTTTTAATTTGTATTTATTGTATTATTATATATTAATAAATATTATTTTTAATATATAGTATTTATATGTTAATAAATACTATTTTATTGGATTATTAATTACATTTAATTAATTATTTTTTTAGTTTCTTTTTAGTAGATTATTTCTTTTTATTAGTTTATTATATATTAATAAATATTATTTTAAATATATAATTTTTATATACTAAAAAATATTAATTTCTTAATTTCTTCTAATTTCTTTTTTATTAGATTAATTCTTTCTATTGGATTTAAATTTATTAGTAAATTATTTTTAATATACAAGATTTATATATTAATAAATATTATTTTATTGGATTACTATTTTTTTAATCTTTTTTAATTTCTTTTAATTGATTTATTTATTATTTTAAATTAAAAAACTCAAACAACAAATCTCACCCACCCGACATCTCTTAATTTATTTTAAATATTTGGAAGATAATATATTTTGGACAACACCGCGACCATCACCCGGTCATGTGGTGGTGGGATGGGTGAGAATTTTTTTTTTAAATAAATTAGGATGGTGGTGATATTGTCCAAAAAAAGTTTAATCCAATGAATATGGTGAGGGTCGTGCGTCGAATAACATTAGAGTATGTGTGATGGGGGGGACATATAATGTCGAACACGAGTTGGACTACTACGACATATTACAAAAGATCTTAAATATTGAGTATTATGGCAGTATGTCGTCGACTATTGTACTGTTTAATTGTATTTGGTTTAATAATAAAGACGGTGTAATAGTCAACAAAATCAAGTTGATTGATGTCAAACCCAACTCTTGACTTCAAACTGATGACCCTTTTGTTTGGCATCACAAGCAAACACAAGTGTTTATACATCATACCCTTTAGTGATAAAGGAGACAAAAGATAAACAAACAATTATCAAGACAAAATTAAGATGGGTATTTGAAGTCATCGAAGCTAAAATGGAAGTGGATGAAATCTGTCAGGTTGAAGAGCAGTTTGAGTCACCCCTTACTGTAACTCGTGTGGAACGAATATGCCTAGCCTCAACTACAAATACGTATGAACAAATATCTGATGACGAGAATGAGGGATCCGGGGAGGATGACGAAGTAAAGGAAGATTTTGAAAATAGAGATGATGAAAATGAGTTGTTTTATTTAGACTACTAATTTATTTTAGTTAATCTGTTTTAATTTCATTTTTATTGGATTTTTTTTGGACAACATCACCACCATCCTAATTTATTAAAAAAAATATCACTCATCCCACCACTGACGAACTAGGTGATGGTTGTGTTGTTGTCCAAAATATGTTATCTTCCAAATATTTAAAATAAATTAGGAGATGTGAGGTGGGTGGGATTTGTTTTTGGGTTTTGGGATTTAAAATATTAATGAAAACTATTAAAAGAAATTTAAACAATTAAAAAATAGTAAACTAATCAAATAATATTTTTTAATATATAAATACTATATATAAAAAAACAAATATTAATAAATTATAATCCAATAAAAATACTCTAATAAAGAAATAAAAAAGAGATTAATAATCCAATAAAGTAATATTTTTTATTATATAAATATTATATTTTTAAAATAATATTTATTAATATATAAGAATTCAATAAAAAATTAATTTATTAAAAAATAACTAACTAAACATAATTAATAATCCAATAAAAGAATACTAATAATATATAAATATTATATATTAAAAATAATATTTATTAATATATAATAATACAATAAAAAGTAATCTAATAAAAGAAATTAAAAAAAAAGAATTAGTTAAATGATTTAATCTCCCTACATTAATAAAATAATAGTTTAAGGTTGTCACATGTCAGTCTAATACACATTCGTATTTATTGTTTGTCACATGTCATTATAATATCCATTCAAAAATTTTATTTTTAAGTACTCTATCTTACACCAAAAATAACTCAAATCAAACATAATTGAAACACATTTAATTCATAAATTTTTGCTACTGATTTTGTTAGGATTAACACATTATAAACATTTATTCAAATCTATAATTAATGGTACTATTATTATATTCTAAATGTTATTTTAACTGTGGATTTCATAGGTTATAATCTAGTGTATAATAACTCAATATAATTAAAAAAAATGATCTTTATAATTTGGTTGCAGAAATGGTAAAATTATCATTTTAGAAAGTTGTTAAAGTTAATATTTTCGGACAAAAAAATGCATAAGATACACTTTTACACCACAAAACATTCCATTTTTGCAATTTTGTAAAAAATAAATGAAATTTAAAAATAATTAATGATCTGCTCATCGGCTTCGAGAGAAAACAGAGCAGACGGAGAGAGAAAGAGGGGCATCTCTCTCTATCTCTCAAACCCCCATCCTTCGATTCCAGGAACTTATTAGGTACATATCACACTTCTCAGTTATGCCTTTTTCGTAATCTATGATTCATCTCTTACCTATTAATCTATAATATTCCATGTATCTTCGTTGTATTGTTTTTTGCATTTTACGAAAACGCCCCGCACAATCATGATCAGAGTTTCCAGATCATATTCATATGACGATTTTCTATGTTCATTTATAATCCTTGTTGTTGTCGACATGTAATGTGATGATCCTGCTGTTTTATGTTCAAATATTCGGAATTTAGAGCTGAAACTGTTAATTGTGTATGGACGATCTTGCCTCTTGGATTTCCTGTTTGTCGTTTGCTAAGGTTTATGCCAGATTTTTATTTCTATTTTAGTTTAAGTTTTGTTATCAGGGTTTTGTATTGATCCTTGGTAGGAACGACATTCAGGTTTGTTTTAGTTTTGCAATGCAGTATGCCCTTGTTGACTAATTCTATGGAACTTCATTTAGGTTTTGTATATTTGGGTTCATTCTTTTTAGTTGAATGTTGACCACTGTCAAAGAACCAGAATTCTAACAAAGTCCATTCTTGACATAATTGATTCAAGATATCCGAATCATTTTTTTTAAATTCCCTGTTTCGTCAATTTGTAGTGTGGGTCATAAAAGTCTTCGAATAATGATCAAGTACCTAAATTACCCATTAATAATAATAATAATTTAACAATGGAAAAAAAATAACTTGTGGGCCACTCAACCAATGCCTTGTAATGATTGTTAATGGACAAATTAGTAGATTTGAAAAACAAAAAATATGTTGCATTCGTTGTTGAATGTCGCATAATTTGGATGCTTGATGATGATTATCAAATGATGTTCTTGTGGGTAAAAGTTGGACATATGTATATAAGAACTTGAAAAGAATGGACTTTTTTTTGGATGTTTAAAGTCAACCTTCATGTATTGAAGAATATTAGTAATTGTGGCTTGGTATGTCACTCATCATTCTTTGGGCCAAATGGCATTACTAACCCTCCATAAGTTCAACAAAGACTCTCAACTTTAATTTATTTCCTAGACATACTTTTAACATGCTTATCATGAAAACATAACAAGAAACATGTGAAATGAACATATGTTTATTGTCATCAATGACCTAATAGATTACCAGATACTTCTTAGTTTTAACTTGCCTTATCCTTATCAGCTAAAACCTTTCAAGAAAGTTAACCATGTGCAGCCTCTTTTTCCCATCTACTTTCCATCCACTTTTCATTCTCCTTTACAGCCCTAATGTTTCTTGTCATTAAAGATAAGGTGTAGTACATTCACTTGTACTCTATGCATATGTATTTGTATTCTATGCAATCTATTGATGATGATTTCTGTTTCAGAGCTGTGAATTGATGCTACTTTGCATATCAAAATGAATAATGAACGAAAAACAATAGACTTAGAACAAGGATGGGACTTCATGCAGAAAGGCATAACAAAGTTGAAGAATATCTTAGATGGTCCAACCGAGCAACATTTCAGCTCAGAGGACTATATGATGCTCTATACGTATCCTTCTTTCATATATATTATTTGATGCTATATATTTATAAAAGTCCTTAACTTTCTTCTAGAACCATCTACAACATGTGCACACAAAAACCACCACATGATTACTCTCAACAGCTGTATGAAAAATATCGCGAGTCTTTTGAAGAGTACATTACTTCAACGGTAGAGCAAGTCACATCCCTTTTTTTCTGCTTTTGAATACTTTACATGTAAATGCTTTTGAATACATTTTAAATCACCAAAAGTCACTATTGATATACTATATATACAATTTCATTTCATTTCCTCATAAAAAAAATCAAAAAAGGCTTACTTTATGTCATGATAGAAAATTGAATTTATTGTGTAAGTGATGAAAAACACATCTTGAATGTCATTCATATGATTAGCTGAAATTGATCTTTACCATATGACAGTTTATAAGAGGAAAGTATAAAGTTGTCGACTGTAGTTGGTTATCTATCATTAGTAATAAATAAAGAAACACAATGGATGTAAACTTTTCTTAGAAAAGTTTTAGTTTTGGTTGGATCTAAGATCAATGTCTCTGCTTCAGGTTTTACCTTCTTTGAGAGAGAAACATGGTGAATTCATGCTCAGAGAGCTTGTTAGAAGATGGTCAAATCATAAAGTCATGGTGCGATGGCTTTCTAGATTCTTCCATTATCTTGATCGTTATTTCATCACCCGAAGATCTCTTCCTGCTCTAAAAGAAGTTGGCCTTACCTGTTTTCGTGATCTGGTACTTCTTCATCTATAAATCATACAAAAATATGTTTTTTTTCTTAATATTAACTAATTGTAAATATGTATTTCTTTAATGACTCGGGGGATATTTTGTTAGGTGTATCAAGAGTTGCATGGGAAAGTGAGGGATGCTGTAATATCTCTGGTATGTTATTTTTTTCTCTTACAAATGTGGTTATCTTACTTTTTTTTTTTATTTTTTTTTTATTTATTCTGTAGAAATAAGTCAATAAGTAATTATTTGTTCAAAAACCAGATTGATCAAGAGCGTGAAGGCGAACAGATTGACCGAGGTTTATTAAAGAATGTGTTGGATATATTTGTTGAAATAGGAATGGGGGATATGGAATATTATGAGAATGACTTTGAAGCATTCATGCTGAAAGATACATCAGCATATTATTCACGCAAAGCTTCAAGCTGGATTCTAGAAGATTCTTGTCCGGATTATATGCTCAAAGTTAATTTCTACACCTCTTTGGTTTTGAAATTTTCATCTTTTCAGCTCTTCTTATAAATTATAATCGCCCTTTTTGGAATATCAGGCAGAGGAGTGCTTAAAAAGGGAGAAAGATAGAGTTTCTCACTATCTTCATTTTAGTAGTGAAACAAAGCTTCTTGAGGTTTGCTTTTTCATTATTTAAATTTGAAAAAAAAAATGGCGACTTTATAGTTTATACTTACTGTTATTGATATTTGTGTTTAGAAAGTTCAAAATGAGTTGCTATCCATGTATGCAACCCAATTGCTTGAAAAGGAACACTCTGGTTGTCATGCTTTACTTAGGGATGACAAGGTATGTTGTTGTATTGTATAAGAGTAAATTACACTTTTGGTCCCTGTGCTATATGTAATTCATATATCATAAACAATCATTGTGAAACTTCTAGTGTTTAGATATCTTACTGGTTGTGAACATTTGTTTCTTCCCTTTCTACCCTTGACTCATAGGTTGATGATTTGTCAAGAATGTATAGACTATTTTCCAAAATACCCCATGGATTGGATCCTGTCTCTAGTATGTTTAAACAGGTTTGTGATTCTGGAGTTGGATTTTATTTTTCTAAAGTAGAATGCATTTATCTGTATATTTTATCATCTGTTTTCATTTTTTTTTTTGACATAATGCAGCATGTTGCTGCTGAAGGCACAGCCTTGGTGAAACAGGCAGAAGATGCTGCAAGTAATAAGAAGGCAGAAAAGAGAGATGTGGTTGGCTTGCAGGAACAGGTAAATTTTTAAAAAATTTGAACTTTCAGATTTTTTTTTAAAAAAAAAATAACTTTTTAATAATAATAATAATACAATTGCTTGTGGTCTGGTTTCCAGGTTTTTGTGAGAAAAGTGATTGAGCTGCATGATAAGTACATGGCTTATGTAAATGACTGTTTTTTAAACCATACCCTATTTCATAAGGTTTGTATATTTGCATTATTAATTTCACTTAATCATAACTTCTTATTTACTATTTTATCCCTTATATTGTTACTCTCTAGGCGCTTAAAGAAGCATTTGAAATATTCTGCAACAAGGGCGTTTCGGGAAGTTCAAGTGCAGAATTACTCGCCACATTTTGTGATAATATTCTTAAAAAAGGTGGAAGTGAGAAATTAAGTGATGAAGCCATTGAAGACACACTTGAGAAGGCATGCTCCTATATAACTCCAGAAAGTTATGTCTGAAAATTATTTAATATTTATTTACATTTACAGGTAGTTAAGCTGCTTGCTTACATCAGCGACAAAGATCTCTTTGCTGAATTCTATAGGTAAATAATAAATCACTTATTTTACATATAAACAGTTTTTGCAGTTATTTATTTTATTATGATTATAATTTTAGGAAAAAACTTGCTCGGAGGCTGTTGTTTGACAAAAGTGCCAATGATGAACATGAAAGGAGTATCCTCACAAAGCTGAAACAGCAGTGTGGTGGTCAGTTTACTTCAAAAATGGAGGGAATGGTAATTGTCAAATTCATATTCCTTTTATATTATATATTTTTATATTTCATATATTTTTTTCAGGTAACAGATTTAACACTAGCAAAAGAAAACCAATCCCATTTTGAAGAGTATTTAGGACATAACACAAATGTGAATCCTGGGATTGACTTGACTGTAACTGTATTGACTACTGGTTTCTGGCCAAGTTACAAGTCTTTTGATCTCAATCTCCCAATAGAGATGGTAATTTTTTATATAAGTTACAAACACCATTTTTTGTGATATCTAATTGTATTTATTTAATTTAGGTTAAGTGTGTTGAAGTATTTAAAGAATATTATGAGACAAAAACAAAACATAGGAAGCTTACATGGGTGTATTCATTGGGTACATGCAACATCAATGGAAAATTTGATTCAAAAACTGTGGAGCTAATTGTGACAACTTATCAAGCATCTGCTCTACTTCTATTCAATTTATCAGACCGATTAAGTTATCAAGAAATCAAGACACAGTTAAACTTATCAGATGATGATGTCATCAGGCTTCTTCATTCCCTCTCCTGTGCAAAATACAAGATTCTTACAAAGGAACCAAATACAAAAACAATATCTCCAAATGATTACTTTGAATTCAATTCAAAGTTTACAGATAAAATGAGGAGGATCAAGGTAATAGATACACTAATAATACCCGAATACCAAATCTTTTAATTCAATTTTTTTTGTTTAAATAAATAAATATGCAGATCCCTTTGCCTCCAATGGATGAAAAGAAGAAGGTAATTGAGGATGTTGATAAAGATAGAAGGTATGCAATTGATGCATCCATTGTTCGTATTATGAAGAGTAGAAAAGTTTTGGGTTATCAACAGTTGGTTATGGAGTGTGTTGAACAGTTGGGACGCATGTTTAAGGTAAAAAGTTTAAATAATTTTTTATAAAAATAAAAATAAAAAATTGAATTTTGTGAATGTTTGTGTAGCCTGATGTAAAAGCAATAAAGAAGAGGATTGAAGATCTGATTACTCGGGATTATCTTGAAAGAGACAAAGATAACCCGAATTTGTTCAGGTACCTCGCATGATTGCATGTAATGTCTTCTTTGTTGAGGAAAATTTTAAGATGTTTGACATATA